GAGGAGAGGCCGGCGGCTGGGGGCGGGGCGGGCGCGGGCGCGCGGGAGGTCGACGGGGCGGCCGGCGGCGGAGGAGGCGACTAGCAGCGGCGGACGCGGGCGTGGGTCCGGGAGTTGGGAGGATTTTCCCCTCCCGCGCGAGGATAACCGCTAAATAAGAGTTGTGGTAGGTTTTGCTTCCCAACCCTTATTTTTCAGGAATGGGAGAGGGTTTGAGTGTTGGACCCTTAATTTTTTTTAAGGGTTTATAGGTTCTAGTCTATGTGATTTTTTGCTCGCAAACTATAAAAAATACAGTTATTTATAAAGGTTCGGGGGTTTGAGGACTCTGCTAAAGATGCTCTAATAACGCTAGCGTCGGTGTCTCCAATGGGTTCAGCCAAGGACAAGGAGGTGGTCTAGGGAGGAGCGATGGAAGAATGAAGCTGTCATGTGGACGCGATCTCCTCCTTTACTTTACACGTCCCAGCAGTACTATACTGGTATACATTTCTTCTAGATCATGGACATAATAGTAAAATATAGTGTAAACCACCACCAACTTGCGCCTTCATTGTCCACTCCTGTACGAGATGGAAGCTGCACCCTCTGACATTGCATTCTTTTATTGGTTTTTCTTTAGTGTTTCTTTTTCAAAATTATTATATACTCTCTCCGTTCGTAAATATTTGTCTTTTTAGATATTTTAAATGACTACCACATACGAATATATATAGATATATTTTACAGTGTAGATTCACTCATTTTGCTTCGTATGTAGTCACTTGTTGAAATGTCTAAAAAGACAAATATTTAGGAATAGGTCCAATGTGAGTAGGATCACTTAGCCATGCTTCATAATTGGAAAAACGGGCGCCATGAAAGTAATGTGATAAAGCATCAATATAATTAATAAAAATAATAGAGAATTAAAAATAGTAACTTGAAACAAGAACTACAAATTTAAAGCAATAATAAAGAGCCGCCCGGATTAATAAAACTGAGAAAATTAACTCGGAAAGAAATTTTTTAGTGAATCCCGATTCGACATTAAAAGTATATTGATTCTTTTCCAATAAACGAAGATTTTTTTCCTGTAGATACTTATTTGATTCAATTCATAAATCGACTTTCCCTCCTATGCTCTGAGGGAGTAGTTTCTTAGTGTTTCACACGCCAAGTTCTCCTTTGTTTACCCTGCAAAAAAAACTGCATTTTTTACTTGTCCATGATCCCGTCTCAGTCATACCAAAAAAAATATTCTCTCGGTTAGTAAATACTCATCGAAGAAATCAATTTATCTAGATGTATTTTAATTTTAGATATTCATTTTTAGTCATTTTTACGATAAATAATTTCGGACGGAGGGAATATTGTACACTGCTGTACTCTCTGAATCCACGTTTCCTACATGTGAATGTCAAGTAAATATTTCAACGGGCCAATTCGTAATTTTGCCGCCGTGTAGTGGGTATATTGCAAACTGCCTCGCTGTCCCTCTAAATTTGGCCCGAGTTCGTTCGTAGCCTCCCCCTTCTCACGTGTCTCTTCTCCCTCCCTCTCTCCCTCTCCGCCGAATCCCGGCTCCTCCCGTCGCCCTTGCATTGCGTCCGGCTCCGGCGAGTTTCCTCCGCCTCCTTTCCCAGCCCGAACGGCCGGAGACCGCGGCTTCGACCGTCTCTGTCTTTCCCGCACGTCTGTCTTGTGCACCCGAGAGAACCATCAGGAATCATCCAGAGAAGGACAGCCGCGGCGGCCTTCGTACGTTTCCGCAATCCCAAGCCGCAAAGAAGGAGTTTTAATTCCATGATTTCTCAGGCTCAGCCTGCCCTCCAGCTCTGATTATCTTCTTCTCTCTTTCTTTCGTTTGTTGGGAAAAAAAGTAGGAAAGCGGTGCAGGAAGTTGCCTTTCTTGGCTTGGCTGGGTCCGAGGAATGGGGAGGAGGATGCGGCAAGCCATTGCCGCGCTGGGCGTCGCGTGCGCGGCCGCCTTCGCCGTCGCCGTCGCCGCCGCTGACCGTGGGCTCTCGCTGCCCAGCGACCGCGCCGTGGTGGCGGCGCCGGAGGAGATCAGCCTCCTCAACAAGATTGCCAATTTCATGTGGCAGACCGACAGGAACTCGTACCAGCATGTTTGGCCGGTAACACGCAAAACAAGCCCCAGCTTTCCGAGCATTTCTTTAACCAGCGCGTCTTTTTTACTAGCTTCTACTGTAGTTTGCTTTCAGTTACTGTATTTTATTAGCCATGAGATGAACTGCTGCACCTTTTTACCCGCTCGTTTTGTGGGAATTCAGTTTGACCCATGCATGAGGGAACTGAATTTTCTTGATTTAATTTAATTATTATGTAGCTCAAACTCCAAACTATGTACATCTGTGTGTGTGATACTTTTTCAGTATATCTGCACTCTCTTCTTTTTGATATGTGTGGTGCTAATTTGGTGGATTTTGTGGATGTGGTAGCCGATGGAATTCGGATGGAAAATGGTGCTGGGGTCGCTGATCGGATTCTTTGGCGCGTCATTTGGGAGCGTCGGGGGCGTTGGTGGCGGCGGGATCTTTGTGCCGATGTTGACATTGATCATCGGTTTCGATCCAAAGTCTTCAACTGCCATATCCAAGTGTGAGGATCCAGCTCTTTCTTTTGGGATTTTCTTCTTCTGTGCCTGCCTGCTCTGAAAGCAACAGCTCTTGCTGTCCCTAAGCATTCATTTCTCAAGCATGTTCAGTATGCGGTCCTGTAATGATTCCTTCATGTGTGCATTAGTTTGCCTCTTTTCTAGGTATCTTCCTTTTCAAGTATGAGGTACTGTACTGATTGATTCATGTGTGCATTAGTTTACCTCTTTTCGAGGGATCTTGCTTGTTCTGTTGCTGTTGGAAAGTTAGGCTGGCAAATTAGTTTGGAATTAGAGTATTTAAGTGTCCTAAAGGGGCAATTAACGCTATTCTGTTTTGTTTATGTTAGGTAGGTAACTTGTGATGGTTGCTAATTATATATTCATGTGTATCGGATTACGCCTTTTTGCCTTTGTCTGGCTCACTTATACTTAATTAATGGCTAAGTCTATGTTTACTTGTTTCCATGAAAAGAAGTAGCTACAAAGGTGTGAAGGCTATACAATAATCAAAGTATTAACATGCAAATCTGAAATATTGAAGTTCAGTGAGCAATGATCCTGCATTAGGGTTTAAATGTGTGTTTCTATTCCATTAAACGATACGACCAACAACATCGTCTCCATCTACCGAACTGAGCACAAAGTCAGGGTCACCGTCCAGCTATTTCGTTTGGAACTCGTGACCTAACTCTGCACCATGCGCCAGCACAGCGTCTACAACCTTATAACAATGCACCTTCATTTCCCAGATATTCTTTCCAACCTGTATACTAATTATCTGGTTTGTGTCTTTATCGTCAGTATACATCCCTGCTGTTTAGGAATTCATTTACGTTTACACATAATTACATCCCTCTACTCAGAATTGTTGGTTGACATCGTTATACTCCAAAGTACAATTCATAGAAATCTCTGGTTGCTGACTTACTATACGAGTCTTGCAAAAATATGATAGAATAATATATAAGTATTTAGTTACAAATACAATGTTTGTTCAGCGGTTTTAATTGATATTTTGCATTCATTTGGACAGGTATGATCACTGGTGCAGCTATCTCAACTGTGTACTACAATCTCAAGCTGAAACATCCGACTTTGGACATGCCGGTGATCGACTATGACCTAGCACTGCTCATCCAGCCTATGCTAATGCTCGGGATTAGCATCGGTGTTATTTTCAATGTTATATTCCCTGACTGGCTGGTCACAGTTCTCTTGATAATCCTTTTCCTAGGTGCTGATTAACCCCTAAACTGCTGCATTTGTTTTTTTTGGTTATCTAGTTCTCATGAATGACCTTTCTCTGCTTCCCCAAATTAAATTGTAGGCACATCAACTAAAGCTTTCCTGAAGGGTGTTGAGACATGGAAAAAGGAGACAATAATCAAAAGGGTAATCTTCCACAGTTATCTCATCATGTTTATAAAAAGTGATTTTATTTATCTCCGCTTCTTTTGTTTGCCCCTTTTGTATGCTAATGGATCTTTTTTCATTTCTTCCAGGAAGCTGAGAAACGATTGGAGCAAACCAGTAAGAATGCTAGAAAACGAAGTGCTTCTCATCTGTCACCAAATCAAAATATTAATGCTCGTATTTTTCAACCTTTCAGGCGAGGAACCGGAGTATGCACCACTCTCTACAGGACCAGGTGCCGCAGCTGATGTCAAACCCCATTCAGATGAAGCGGTAAACATCTCATGACAATATACATAATTCCTTGCATTTGTTGGAGATCTCATTCTCAAGAATTTGAACCTAGAATTTCCCAATATTTCAGCCATCACTTATGAAGAACATTTACTGGAAGGAGTTTGGTCTTCTCACATTTGTGTGGCTAGCATTCCTTGCTATTCAGATAACAAAGGTGAGGATTGTAATTGAAAACTACAAATTAAAATGGTCATAAAAATTTCAGACGCATCTAATTCCAGCTTCTTACCAAGTCATTATTAGCTGTCTTATAACTCAGCACATTTGTTTGGTTATTTCTGTTATTTTTGTTGCTTTATTTGGCCTTACTAGCAAGCATTTTCTCTTTCTTGATTTTGCTTTTGTCTTAAGCGGACGATAATGTTTCTTTCATCTAGTCTCAAAAATTTGTGATAGTAAACAAACATCCTTTATGACCAATTCATTCAGAAAAAATAGGAATCAAATCAATATGTACAGCCGATCCATTAAGTCAGTTTTCATAAGACGTTTCAGGATCTTCTGCTCTTTTCAGTTAATTTGAAAAAGAAACACATACAAATGCTGTCACTTTATTTTCTAGAAACTATTGTACTTGAACTAAATTTATAGCTTTCTATCTTTGACAGTAATACTTCAATGCTATGCTATTTTTCTCATACTTGCAGAATTATGCTCCTACTTGCTCCACGTGGTACTGGGTCTTGAACTTTCTCCAGGTATTTATATTTCCGCACCTGTTTTACCCCAGTTATACCAAAAATCCATGCTGATTTATGTAGATCCTGTAAAATACTTAACCACTGGAATTTGTGTTCCAAATATCAATCTTATCACAAGATTTATAAATTATCTCATATGTCTTTGTTGAACTCCAAATGTAACTACACAAACTTAGAGATTCAAAGCCATACATCGTGGGCAATCCCCACACTGGTGCACCTCGACTCCTCTATCTGGCCAGGGATCCTTTTGCCTATTCTTTGGAAAATCTGGGAAGCAAGAAATGCTGCTGCTTTTAGGACTGAAAACCATAGTCCACGTGTAACCATTACTAGCTTATGTAGGGACTTTGATCTTTGGACTCTTCGGTTTAGAGAACCGAGTGATAAGGTAGCCGCCTTGTCTTGGCGTGACTACCTCTCTTCATGGATTGCCGTGACTCTGTAAACTCTTGTAACACTGGTCCTTGGGCCGCTTTGAGCAACATATATACAGGCGGGGATCCTCTCCCCCTCGGTGATTACTCAAAAAAAACATACATTGTCACTTTGAGCAACATATTTCCTACTAATTAACATGTGATTTAAGCTCCCAATTTTCTCTACCAATTTGTACAAAGTTATGATTTTGCACCACCTATATGGACCAATTTTTACTGTTGGGTTTACTTGGCTAATTTCTGACATTATGAAAGAAGGGTTGTTGTATCGTATCAATGTTGATCATACACTGTCATAAATCTTTCTACTCATTTGGTGCAGATCCCGGTCTCTGTAGGAGTGACTATGTACGAAGCACTGGGTCTGATGAACGGGAAGAGGGTGCTATCATCAAAGGGAAATGAGCAAACTACCCTGAAATTTCATCAGCTCTGCATATACTGCTTCTTCGGTGTCACTGCAGGGCTCGTCGGCGGTCTGCTAGGTTTGGGAGGTGGTTTCATCATGGGACCACTGTTTTTGGAGCTCGGCATCCCTCCCCAGGTACACTCCACCCCCCCAGTTTTCACGTTTATGTATGTCAACAAGTTATGATTTGGCCATAAAGAATGCCTCCTTAACTGAAACCATCATAGGTTTCAAGTGCTACCGCCACGTTTGCAATGATGTTCTCTGCTTCTATGTCTGTCGTGGAATACTACCTCTTGAACCGGTTTCCAGTTCCTTATGGTAACACTATCCCTCTGGTTCACATTTTTTTCTTGGTATAGGGCTGGGCATGTACTGAATCAATTTCTTGGCCTTTTCTTCAGCTGCTTACTTTGTTGCTGTGGCGTTCGTTGCTGCCATTATTGGGCAGCATGTAGTCAGGAGGTTGATCAGTTGGTTAGGGCGGGCATCACTCATCATCTTCATACTGGCTTTCATGATCTTCATCAGCGCAATTTCTCTTGGTACATTTTCGAACATCTGACACTGCCCTGATCAAATGCCCACTGTTTTTGAACTTTGAACAATGTGTAACAGAAGCTGCTTCTTTTCAATCTTCAGGTGGGGTCGGTATCTCCAACATGATTCACAAGATGGAGCAACATGAGTACATGGGGTTTGAGAACCTCTGCAAATATGATGCATAGGATGCAAGCGGGCTTAACGTTCATGTGCAGTCATTCGAGTAAGGAACCGGAATTAAATTGAAGATTCAATTCATAGGTGGTTCAGGTTTCATACCTTTAGCCATGTAATCAGAATGTAATCTAGCGCACAAAAATCAGAGGTCACCGCTTGGGGTTAGAACTGGGGTAAATGTTGGAGCACACTTTTTTTCTGGAACTGATTTCTGAATTTTCAGTTTAAAGTCAATTCACCGTGCCTATCTCATTGTACCAATCTTGTAATAGATTTAGTGAACTTGTTCTTATGCCCTGCAGAATATCATCATAGATGTGCATTTTGTTGTCAGAAATTGTTCACTGAGAATGCCCCTGCAGATAGGCGTGTAGCCCATTATCAAACGCTCGATGCACAGCGCCGGCAGAATTTCATGTTTCTGGATGTCCTACCCATTCAACAAAAATAGCATGTTTCTTCAGAATTCAACATATATCATACCCACAATCTACATCACCAGACAAAGATTATAGCGCCACTCATCGCCAATAATCAGTGCTGCCGAAAACACTTGGCCTCTGTACTTATCTCTTAATTTGAACCAACATCAGACCATGAACATGTAACACTCAGTACTATTTATTTTATTTTATTGCGGGGAAGCACTCCAGTACTATAGTAGCATGGTTGCGCTTACATCCTTCCAGAACATGTCAGCATCACCAGATATCTTGTACTAATAAAGTAACTACTGCCGCCGTAAGATCTTTTGATCATGATTTCCTACATATCACATTCCTCAATTTGCATTCTCAAACGAGGCAATGCATGGGCATGGCAACAAGGCAAAGAGTGACAGTCTGATGCATTATAGGCAACTTAAAATATATCATTGTAACTAACAGATGTTACATTCTCCTTTTTCCTTTCTGAAACGTATTGCCATACTTCAACTTATATCATTGTAACAAAACATCAACGCACCATTCTGAAGTTTCTAACCCATAACGAAGATTTCTAAGAAGACTCGTGTTTACAGTAGCACCAATTTAGGGGATGCTATGAACAACTTTATCTAAATCGTCGGAAGACAGTCGAGATAGAAGAGAACATTGTATGCTAACGATAGGGGGGAAACTGTAAGCTGACAGTTACCAGAAGCATGCTTGAAATCATTAATCAACCATGCTCCTGTTACCAGGACACTCGAGCAAGGCGTTGTTTTTAGCATCTGAAGTGATTTACAGTTTTTTACATGAATAGATCATTGTGCAGCTGCCCTTCAACTGTCTTGGACCAGGTTGGTTGGCTCACTCAAAACATACTTCGGCAGTTCATATTTAGCACCTGAAATGTTAATAGCTTGGTAAACTACCTGAACGACAGTTGAAAGAGTGGGGGGAAAAGGAATCAGATGGAAAATCAAACCTCTTTCATCATAGCATAGAGTCAGGTCAGCATTTGAAACAATTACGCCCGCACTTTCCACAATTGCCTGTGCAAGGGCTACATCAGCCTCTGACGCAGCACGAAGGGCATCCCAAATTTCTGTAGAAGGCTTAAATGGTTAGTGCAAGGATTGCGTACATGAGCAGCTAAGGGAACTATACATACAAGCATGAAAAGAAAGTGGAGCTCAACTATCAATTTAATAGGAAGCAAAATTATGTAAAGACACACGACAGAAGCATAAGAGTAAGAAGTACCTTTCCGACCACCATAGTGAGGAGCTGTGTCCCAAAACTCATCACGCATCTGCCTGAGCTGGGCAATTGTGATCGGCTGGGGGTGCTTCCAGGGCTTAGGCTTCCTGACTTTCTTCGTAGCTTCTGCATAATTGAAAAATAAGCCACAATGTATGAGATGACCAGTGAAGCCTTAATAAGTATTCACAGTTAAAAGATATTAGAGTAAATTCAGTGCAAGACAAAAGACAAACAGCGCTAGTTTTTTGGCTCTTAAAAACTCATCTCTATGTAATAGGAACATCCTTGTGCAACTTACTATTCGATGAAAAGTTCACCTTTAAATTTTAAGGCATTTTTCTAGCCCTGTTCTCATTGCCTTATGTGTCTACCACAAATATACACATTACATGTGGTGACTAGAATTTTTTTAGCACCAACAAACTAACTTATAGGGACTAAGTAACATAAATCAAAATTAATCAGTGCCAACAACTCACAATTGGAATTAATCAAATATTGAGTGGACATAATATTTGATCCATGCTATGTACATGAGATGACTAAAACACACATAGATATATAATAATGTTATTTCATCTGATTATTCAAGATTAGATATTGTCAATGAGTAGTCAGGCATGTATTTAATAGATCTACATGAGGTCATCAACTATCTAAAATACTGGCAAGTGGCAAGAACTAAAAATTCCACAAATTGTTTTGTACCATTTTCAACAGACACAATATGATGCACCAGGACTTGCATAATACTACCATCACGTTCCAAACGTCACTTGCTTCTTCTTTATCAAATACCAAGCCCCACAGAATTGTTCAAAACATAATAGTACTCTTAGCAGTTTAGCACAACCTAGTCCTTGTGGATACATTTTGTCAGGCTCCAAGCTGATTAGGCTAACTAAACAACCATCCATATTCTTCAATAAATGTTGACACCATTATTAGTTTACCAGACACTAAGCTATTACTTCTAGCTGAATACATAAAATACAACTCTACTCAAATGTAATGAACAAGGAAACCAAATCCTGTATAGTTCCAGCTTTCAGTGTTCAACTTGCACAAAATATCATGTCCCTTGCATCAGGATTCAGGACAATAGAACAGGATCCAAAATATAACATTTGCTCATGAATTGTCATAATAAACAACCACTACATATCACAAAAGAAAACAGAAACCTTCAAGATACAGAGATGTTAATCACACCCCCAAGAATGCAATGAATGTTAAAACTATGTCTTGTTGACTGCTATGCTAACTAATTAGTTCCATTCAGAACAAATCATACAGAAATCAAAACTATGCGTCATGTAGCAAAGCATAGTTGTGCATGCTGTCGGATCAAGAAACATTTGTCACACACAAGAAACTGGAAAGAACAAAAAAAAATTCTCTTCAGAAAAGACAATTTCGCCATCCATGCTTAATTTGGACTATCCACAAGTTCAACAAGTCTATCACAGCTAACAACTTTGGAAGATCCAAATCCAGTTACATCCTCATGTTCACACACTCACTGATCATGACCTCCTTTCACCAAACTATGATTAACGAAGCCAGAAAGTGTCCTATAACATCTTCCACACGTTATGCACACAGGGACAACAATGTATAAAAAAAGAATCTAATTTACACTCCTGTCGCCACACAATAGTTACACGATCCAGTTCAGCAGAGCACTCTCTAGTTACACAAGGGGAAGCAACTCCATCTTCCCCAAGAATCCCATCGCCGCAAACTAATCATTCACCAAGGAAATCCGCACAACAAATGATCCCATTCAGTTCGCCGGTGGGCATAAGTTTCACTCCTGCAATTTTTACCGGCCAACTCAAACCCAAATCACAACTCGACCAATAATCCCTTTCCACGAAGGCGCCACCCGAAAATCCCTGCCAAGCCCTTAAGCAACTACCTACACACAAATAACTCAACTTGGATAACCTAGCTCGATTTGGAACCAAGAAATCGATTCCTGCCAAGCACGGCTCGACCAAGAATCCATTCCCATCACACAACTGACGCCATCTACGCCATCAAAACGCACGCCCTCTAAAGGGACCAAAAAATCTTCAAACTCCAAGAACCCAATTCCGCGAGTCGCACAGAAATCTTGTCGCAAGGACCCGATCCTAACCGGGCGGATCAAGCAGAAAGCGAAGAACAGGAGGGGAAATCTGAGGGGCTGGGAGCTCGGATCGTGAAATCTTACCGCCTCCGGCGGCCGCAGCGCCCTTGGGGGTGGATCCTGCGCAGCCCATGAGAATCCTGCTTCTCGGTGGTGAAGCCGTGGAGGAGTGGAGGGCTTTGGGGGAGGCAGCCTTGGCTTCCGAGCTTCTACGGAAGAAAGGAACAGAAAGCGCATTCATAAGCTCTCCTGCCTTCGTTTATAGGAGTATGATTTTATTAATTAATTAATTAATAATTAAATCAAACCTTGCTTATATCAGAGGAGAGAACATCGGATACAACAACGTAATAATAGAGTAACTGAAGCCAATAGCATAATAATGACCCTAGAAAAACAGAGCTTGCAAGCAAGACAATATGGCTCAACGTTTTGCTAAGGTCATCTCCAATACGGACTCTCAAAACACCCGCACACGTCTGAGACGACCTGTTTGGACGTTGCAAGGCATCTAACACAGGCATGTATTTGTTGGCAACGAGTCCGCATGTCCGTTTACTCGCAAACCGGAAGCAAATCAGGGGGCTTTGCATGGAGTCCGGACCTCTAACACGTAGGACTCCGAGACCCTCAGCCCACACAAAAACCAGGGCGAAGCCCGTGCATTTGGATCAATCCGCAAATCGGCGCCAAAACCCCTCCCCCTCTGCGCTCCAATCGCCGTTGGCATCCTCCCTTCTCGCACTTTTCGCTTCCGCCACCGCATGGACCCATACAAGAATCTGCTGGAGCCGGCGGGGGTGAAAGATCTGGAGAAGGTGTCCGCCTGGAAGATTAACTCGGCGGCACGACAAGCCCGCCACCTCAAAGTGAAGGCAAAAGATGGGGCGGCCAACAAAAAGAAGGGCGGCAAGGGAGCGGGTGGGGCCAAGGACGGGGTGCAGGGGCCAGGCGGGGCATCGCCACCATCGTCGTCCATGCACACGCCACCCTGTCCGGAGCAATATCAACCTCCCTACTTCTACGCTACCAAGTAGCTCGGTCGGTAATCCACAACCTCCATCGTTAGGCATGTGTCGTATTGCGTGAATGTCAACGTACCACATTGCTATGCGTTTGAAATGAAATTGGTTGGACCTGGGCGGACATTTATGGGATACGTTGGATGACCGACTCCCGCATCTATGTCCGTGGGCAGATAGTGTGTCCGTTTTAGATAATGGTGTTAGAGATACCCTAAGACCACAACCAAACTTACAGTTGTTTAGCCGATATAGCTCTCGCTAGTGATGGGCATCATAAAAAATTCAACACTAAACTACCTACGTAGACATGTAGAGAATCAAACCTCGTTCATTGGGTGCAATAGTAGATGGCGCACGCTACATGTCGACCGGCTAACGAGCAAATTGGATCGGCCATCTCTAGAGCCGTCTGATCTGACATGAGACACTTATCCGATCTTGGTTACACCACCCGTCAGGTTGGGACCCAACCATTGCAACGTGCCCCATGTCGCGCATGGGAGGTTTGTAGCCGGTCCCAAATTACAACGATCGTCAACCATACACCTCTTCTCCACCCATTGCAACATGTGCCATGTTGCCACCGCAACAAATCCTTTTTGCTGTTGGGCTCAGGTGGTTTGTTGAATTTGTTTCCTTTGAAATATGAACCATCTTGGGCTCAGGTGGTTGCAACATGGCCTATGTTGGACTAGTTGACTTTGTCCCTCACCTGGTCGGACCGTAACATGAGTTGTGTTTGGCTTAGATGGTTGCAAATTGGCCCATGTTGCAACTAGCTGCCTTGTCTACAGAGGCCATTACGCAACCTGGACAATGTTGCAGAGGCCACCATGCATCATGGTCATTGTTGTAAACCACCATGCAACATGGACGTTGTTGCATCGCATGCAGCAACATCGCCTAGCGAAGCGCGATAGCGTGAAGCACCAACAAGGCTCGCTGCTTCCCATGAAGCGTGATGACCTGAAGCATAGGTGTGGCAGCAATCAGTGCATGACAGCGTGGTCGCGAGGGAGAGAAAAGGAACGAAAGGTAGCACACGGAACAAAACGAGTGAATGTCCAAGGGATACGGTTATGGGGAGGTGGGCGGTGCCTAGCCACATGGGACACTAATACGTCTCCAACGTATCTATAATTTTGATTGTTTCATGCTATTATATTATCATTATTGTTTGCTTTATATGTCATTTTATATTATTTTATGGACTAACCTATACTTTGTGCATAGTGTCAGTTCCTATAAAACCATACCAAACAAAGTCCAAACATGATGAAACTTTACGGTGATTTTTTCTGAAACATAAGAGAACCTGGAAGTTTCGGGGAGAAATCAGAAGACATACGAGGAATCCAGAAGCTCAAGGGGCGCGCCACACTGGTACGCGCCGGTCCTAAACAAATGGTTTTTAACCCCTTTCCGCGACGGCATTCGGAACCGTCGCCAAGTGAGTGTGGGCGATAGGGGGGGTCCTTCCCACACAATTCAGAAACCGTTGGGGATATGCCCTCCTGGCACACACGCTAGGTCGTGTGCGACCGACGAGCGCTCAAATATAGAAATACGTACGGTAGTGCTAAAAATACAATTATACGGCGAAATTATTTCCGGCCACAAGTACATCCCACACAGTCAGTCCCCGCTAAACATTTCCGTTCGTATATACATCCGACACAGTCGCTACAAGGAAAACATTTGCGCAAGGTGGCGTAACGCAAACAGTTTTAAAAAGAATGTCGTGTGTGATTGTTCATTGATTCAACACGGTTTATTCCTAAAAACTATGTGCGTGGCCTGAGGTCATCGCCCACGATGTTTTCTCATTAACCGTTTGCAATAAGGAAACCCAATTCGCAAGCTAATTGCCCTATTATTAATAATCCATTTACTAATCTAATTGACACTCATATTAAGCACATAATATATTCCATTTCCATATTAAGGAATCAGGATTTCATAATTGAAATACATCAGAGTACAACATGATATAGCTTCAACACCCAGCTACCCCATTACACAACTGCACCAGCAGCAAGTTTCACATGCAATATCTAGAACCTTTCGAAATTAGCATCATAGATTGTACATAAAGAGATGCATCTCATCTGGAAAACTGCTGAAGCGGAAGGCGAATATTAAGCCTTTATTCATGTTGAAGGTCTTTGCAACTTTAGGCCAGTGCTTATGGATGATTGACTGTCCGTCCTTCGAGCTCTTCAGGAACACTAATATTGAACCGTGAGTGTTGTATGAAAACTTTCATCGCCTCTTGACCACAGAGATGGTTTGAGAGGTAATCATCAGTGAACACTAAAAATAAGGATGTGCATAAATATATTCTCTATATTGGAAACGGGGCAAAGAAATAAAAAAAAGGCAAGGTATAATAGTTAGTACCATCTTGTAAACCTCAGTGCTTCTCATTGTTTCCCTGCAACACATATAAGGTAGTTAGTCATCAGGTTAAGTAAGGATTCGCATGCTATCAGTAAAATATGTTGATGAAAAATAAGCACATTGCAGATTCATCAGATTAATTCAAGCCACATGAAAAACCCATTTAACTAAACCAAGCATGATTAAGAAATAGGAAATATAGCACTTGTATATGTTTCTCATGTATTAAGTGCAGCCAAATTCGATTTATTCCTCACATGGTATACAATAACAGAACGCAACCACAACAATTGAACACCGCATTGCAGAATTGAACCAAGTAGTTAACTAAACACCACAACAAATGAACCAAACGTTAACTGAGCATCACATTGCACAATATAACATACTCCTAATAGAAGATCAGACAGTTAACAAACCAAACATGCTTAACAACTTGGAAATATAGCAATTGTATTTGTTTCTTATGTATTTAGTACAGCCAAATTTGATTTATTCCTCACATGGTATACAATAACAGAATGCAGCCACAACAATATAACATCGCATTGTAGAATTGAACCAAGCAGTTAACTAAACACCACAACAAATGAACCAAACGTTAACTGAGCACCACATTGCACAATATAACATACTCCTAATAGAAGATCAGACAGTTAACCAAACCAAGCATGCTTAACACTTGGAAATATAGCAATTGTATTTGTTTCTCATGTATTTAGTACAGCTAAATTCGATTTATTCCTCACATGGTATACAATAACAGAATGCAGCCACAACAATTGAACATCGCATTCCAGAATTGAACCAAGCAGTTAACTAAATACCACAACAAGTGAACCAAGCCACACCAAATGAACCAAGCAGTTAACTAAACACCAATTGAACAATATAACATACTCCTAATAGAAGATCAGACAGTTAACCAAACCAAGCATGCTTAACAACTTGGAAATATTGCACCCTGAAGAATTGCACATCACATTTGCAGAATTGAACCAAGCAGTTAATTGAACATCACATTGCACGACATATAGAACATATACACTACAACAGAAGATTGCATGGTAAAAGTAGATAGCACAATTCACTAGAATTTGTTAAGGAAAGGCAGTAGCTAGCAAACTGCACATGGGTCCTTATAGTGAGCTAATAAGACAAGCTACTCCTCATTGTCGGAGATATCGATGACGATTGGCTCCTTGGACATGGAAGAGGGCAAGGCCTCTGCATCGTGGGTGCCCTCGTTGTAGTGGTGAGTTACCTGAGCCACTCTGGGCACCAACCTGCTAGCTCTCGAGATGAGGTAAGCACGTGCACGCTGAGAAAACACCTCGTAGTCTTTGTTGAAGGCATCGACGGTGGCCTCGAGAAAACGCCACGAACTATCGTCTAAAGCAGCCAACCGCGTCGCGGCATCGGCGCGCGAGGCGTCAACGGTGGCCTCGATGGCGAGGTGCTCCTCCAAGATCTGGGGGTCGGCACAAATGGCAGCCATCGCGACCTCATCCGCGTGTGCAACCGCGATTTGCTTCTCCGCTGCCAAATGCTCCTTGAGGTCCTGGCTATACTGCGTGCACCATGGCTTAGGCCTGCGCTTATTTGGTGAAGGGGTCGGGGATTTGGGTGGAAGGTGTCGCGCTCACGCCAGCGGTCGGGGCATGTGGGATGTGGAAGGAGGAGGAGGATGGGGGTCAGGTGTGGATTACATGCCTAGATAGGCAAGGTCGATCAGCGTGAAGGAGGGTTGCCGACGAGGAGGCGGCGACGCTGCAAGCAAGGAGTGAAGGTTTCAACTTGGAAAGGAAGGAGGAAACAGGGGAAATGTGGCTTTTGGTAAGGGGGAGGGGGCGGGATGGTAGATATTTCCATGGAAGCTGAAAATTTGGAATCGCTTCAGCCAAAAAACTGGCGCGCAAAGTGTCATCAGACATGGTCCGAAGATATTTTGTGCTGCATCTCACATGGTTGGTTATAATAAGTTGTGTGGGATCTACTTGATTTTTCATCTTGATTTGAATTACATAATGGGGTCACATCGGCCATGGACGGTGTTTGAATTGCTAGACCTTTTATCTGCAGTGATCATGCAACTATATATGTGTCATAAAAGAATTGGAATTATTCAAGGTTCGTTTGGACATTTTTATGCATTAAGTGAGTTTTCAATGCATTTATGTGCATAATTCAAATTTGAACTACATGTGCATGCTCCAATGCATATAAATTGGTTGAAAAATCAAATCTTTGTCCTTGGATGCATGCTTAGGTCCCATGCAAGAAATGGGAATGAATTTCAAACGCTAGGGCACCGTTGTTTGCCAACAAAACATTGAGATGCCTGATTTTTAAATTCTAGTAATCCAAAACTCGTTTGAAATTCATAAAATTTGGCATGCTATCATGGAGCGGCATCAACATGCGGTGGTAAATTTTTTGTCCCATTTGGGTCAGGTTTGGGTATATGCTTCTCACAAACCAGAGCTTCTCACAAAAAGCATGATGGTTTTGGTAGGGAACGCCCCACCTTTGAGGATGAAAAGATATCCATTGCCTCTTATTGCTTTCAAAAAATTTATCGTGTCAACATAGAACAACAAGAGTGTTGTGTTATTTTTTGTGATTTTTCGGGGTTCGTTTGGACATTTTTATGAATTAAGTGAGTTTTCAATGCATTTATGTGCATAATTCAAATTTGAACTACATGCACATGCTCTGGTGCATATAAATTGGTTGAAAAATCAAATATTTTGTCCTTGGGTGCATGCTTAGGTCCCATGCAAGAAATGAGAATGAATGTCAAACACCCTACCACCATCACTCGGCCGCAAACATTGAGATGCCTGGTTTTTAAATTCTAGTAAATCCGAAACTCGTTTGAAATTCATGAAACTTGGCATGCTATCATGGAGTGGTATCAACATGCCATGGTAAATTTTTTGTCCCATTTGGGGCAGGTTTGGGTATATGCTTCTCACAATCCAGAGCTTCTCACAACAAGCATGATGGTTTCAGATAGAACACCTGTATGCAAAGTGAGAGCAGAATTTGTGCATCTCTTGAACACTAACGGTTCTTTTGGATGACCCGTGTGAACCACTTACAAAAAATTTGGTGCGATTTGCATCTGTCATATTGGGTATGTTGCCATTTGTCAAACTAGAAAGATTGACATTTGTTGATCTAGTAACATTGCCATTTGCCAACCTTGTAACACTGCGATTTGTCAAAATACGAAGCTAAAAATCACTAGCAGTATCTAATTTTTGCAACTAAAATTCAGTAATTAAGCATAGATGGAGGCGAGGAGGCGTGTTTAGCCAGGCGTGTAGCGGGCGGCGCAGTACTATTCGATTTGACAGCGGGCGGCGCAGTTCCTGATATGACTTTAATGCAGACGAGGGAGAGGGTAGCTGTTCCCGAAATGTTGAACGGCCAACGATGCATCCTCCTTCAATTAGCATCGTGTGAATGCATGAGGGAACTAATGGGAGGACCGGGAAAAGAGAGGCAGCACGATGTGAATGCAATGCAGTTTGCACTCATATAAAGGCGCCCTTCCATTCCAATGCATCTACCACATCGTATGCACCTAAGCATTTGCCTAAGCACCTACACTAATAAGCGCAAAAGTGCCCACTCCAGACCCATGGCAGCGATGCGCGCGAGCAGCCAGTGGCTGTGAAAGATGGTCCACGACGCCGGCCTGCGGCATGGCATCATGGATCATCTCTATACGGTGTTGGCGACCGGCTGGTGGATGGCCGCCGTCGACGCTAGTTACGACTCTCAGTTGGACCAGATGATCGTTCGCACCACCAAGGTTCACCGTCATCAAGAAGCTCATGAACGACATCGTCGTACTGCTCCAGCCCGCGCGCCCGGGCTACTCATTGCCTGTCACCCTAATCGGCCTCCATGGTCGGAACCTCTTTCAAGCACTGGTGGCCCTGCGACTGCCCGCCGACGCCACAAAGAATGTCCACCTGGAGGTCGCGCTCGCCGCGAGGCGCCTCACCCTGCAAGAAACCGTCGACCTACACATCCATGTGTATGAGCGAATCGTGTACATAGTTATCTACAAGGCCAGTGAGGACGCTATGGCGTTGGCCTTCTTCAGCCGTTTGGAAGCCTTGTATGCCTTTGTTGAGAAGCACCTGAACCTCGCCACAAAAGCTGCCGCTCCTTAGCCGCCGGTCGGTAGCCCAGCCAGCGCACTGAGTTGAGGAGGAGGAGGTCATACGTTGATGGATACATCTTTCTTCTCGCCTCCTGTAACCACGACTGCGATCGCATCATCGTGGCCTTAATTCTTATTTTGCTATTGCATTCTCGTTCCAGTCAATATAGACATGTGCGACCCCTTTTTTCAATACAGATATGTCTGTTCCAGTCTTATTTTGATTGGCTTGAATGAAGGTCTATCCCGCCGTTAGGCGCCGCAGCGCGCTGTGCTTGCCATTAGGCGCCGCGGCGCGCTCTGCTCGCGTCCGTCGGCGCGTTTGGCTTGTGGACAGCTTTTCCTTGCGTGTTCAACTGCTATATGCGGAGCGCTCTGCTCGCGTCCCTCCGCGTGCGCTCTGCCAATGGTTGGGCGTGTACACGATCACGTCGGGGGGCCCCCTATGCATGCGGTTGTGCTGCGCGCATTGCCACGTGATGCAGTTACGTGTGGCACGATGGAGTTACGCGCTGCAAATTAGAACTGCCATCAGGGACTGCAATATTCCTGGCCATCTGGCTTCCCCTTTAATTCCCGCGACCACTATAACCTTAGTCTCTTCAACCTTTCGATCGCGCCCCACAACATAACAAGCACACCCACGACGACACATAGAGAGGGGATGTCCAGCGGTGATCCAATGGAGTTCGGCGAGCATAGGGTGGAGATCCACGTGAGGGAGACGGTTCTCTCGGTGGTGTACACCATCGACCCGACCGTGGTGGACGACTACATCAACAACGTTGAGCAGTTGCTTGCTGGAGACAAGCACAAGGTGGTCGGCACCGACCTCCAGTACACCGCCGGTCGTCCCGGCATAGATCAGAAGGTTGTCGTCGCCCAGTTGTGCGTGCGCCATCATGTCCTCATCTACCACTACTGCATGGCCACAGAGCCTTGCAACTGTTTCAACAGGTTTGTCAACAACACTGACTACAAGTTCTCCACGGTGGAAACCACCAACAATGTAAAAGCGCCCAATGTTACAGGCTTGGCCTGCAAGAACCTTGTCAAAATCCGTGACCACTACAGGGTCTGGGGCAGCACAAAGAAGGACTCCCTGGTCGAACTCGCCTCGGCCATCATCGACCCCTACTACGAAAAGATGAAGCAGGATGCCCAGAGAACAAGTCCCGTATCCTGGCACGGGGCCTGGATGCGGCAGCTGGATGAACCTCACGTTAGGTTTGCAGCCAAGAGCATGTACACATGCTACGAGATGCACAAGTAGATCGTTGACATGAGGAAGTGCCTCGTTACCAAAATCGACGAGCCCGGATCGAGCCACAAGCAGAGCAAGCGTCACAAGAAGTAGATGATGATCAGATGATCGTTTATGCTAGTTAATCATGCATGTAATATATAGTTTACTTTATTGGTGTGTGTAAATGTCATGTGTGTAGTAGCCACCTATCTAATTATGCATCTAATAGTTTACTTTGGTGTGTGCAAATGCCATGGTTGTAGTAGCCACCTATGTAAGTGGATGTTTAATTTGGTTGTGCAAGCATGTCCTTATAAGTGTGTGTATATATGTATATGTTGTTGTTTTGTATGTAATCCCATCGCACAACACACACGTCTTATTAGCAGTAATCGTCTGTGTTATTATCGGTATTCACACAAATTTCTGATTACAGACCTGTTTGCCGCGTATCACACACATCTTGTTCATTTGAACCATTTCTGTTCTCTTGTCTCAACGCAAACAGTTCATTCGAGTGAACCGCATGCCGTATATCGCACACACACCTTTGATTTGGCTGACCGTTTCCATTGTGTTGCCTGATCACAAACAGTTCATCCGAGTGAACCATATGCTCTACATCGCACATACCTTCATCCGGCTGCCCATTTCTTTTGTTCCTCCTCATTGCAAACAGTTAATTGTGATGAACCGTATGCCCTGCATCGCACACGCAACTAAAATCTGAACCGTGTTTGATGCATCCTCCACCGCAAATGTTTTACACCTTTTTTGACGGTTTTTTACACCACCGTTTGCGATTATGGCATCGCACACAGTTTTGTCGAAGGGTCTCTGATCGTAGTCTCGCGTTAGCAGCATCATGCAGTAGTGCCATCAGCACTTGTGGGCCCCCTGAGCCTTCATTAACCCTAATCTCTGGCTTATAAATTCTCTAATATTCCAATACACCCAAAGAAACACCCGGAACAATTCTTCCGCCGCCGCAAGCCTCTGTTCTTTTGCGATCCCATCTGGAGGCCTTTTCCGGTACTCTGCTGGAGGGGGAAAACCATTGTGTAGGCTATCTTGATCAACCTTGCTGCCTCCATGATGATATATATGTGAGTAGTTCCTACAGGACCTACGAGTCCATAGCAGTAGCTAGATGGCTTTCTCTCTCTCTTTTGATCTTCAATACAATGATCTCATCTGAGATAAATCATGGGTTTATGATCAGATTATTCATTGATCTATTCCGAGTTCTCGATCCTTCATTATTGTGTAATCTTATGGCTTTGCATTTCTCTGTGATCTATTGGTCTACTTTAGCCAAGTTTGACTGATTTATCATTAGTGGGAGATGTGCTTTGTAGTGGGATCAATCCTGCGGTTAGTCTTACCTAGTTATAGAAAGGGCGAGGCACGTATTTGTATTGTTGTCAGTAAGGATAAAATGATGGGGTTTGGTCATATTGATTGATCTTATTTTGTCTACATTATGTCATCTTGCTTAATGCATTACTCTGTTTGTCATGAACTTAATATTTTGAGATGCATGCTGGATAGCGGTCTTGGGGTGGAGTAATAATAATAGATGTAGTTGGATTACGGTCTACTTGTCACAGACGTAATGCCTATATATTGACTATGCCTTGGATGGTCATCATAACTATGCACAATTTTTTCAATTACCCAATAGTAATTTGTTTACCCTCCGCTGTTCTGCTTTTGAGAGAGATGCATCTAGTGAACCTATTGAAGGAAATATGCCCTAGAGGCAATAATAAAGTTATTATTTATTTCCTTATTTCATGATAAATATTCATGCTAGAATTTTATTACTGGAAACATAATACATGTGTGAATACATAGACAAACAGAGTGTCACTAGTATGCCTCTACTTGACTAGCTCGTTGATCAAAGATGGTAATGTTTCCTAACCATAGAAATGAGTTGTCATTTTATAAACGGGATCACATCATTAGGAGAATGATGTGATTGACTTGACCCATTCTGTTAGCTTAGCACTTGATCGTTTTAGTTTACTGCTATTGCTTTCTTCCTGACTTATACATGTTCCTATGACTATGAGATTATGCAACGCCTGATTACCGGAGGAACACTTTGTGTGCTACCAAACTTCACAATGTAATTGGGTGATTACAAAGGTGCTCTACAGGCGTCTCCGATGGTACTTGTTGAGTTGGCAAAGATCGAGATTAGGATTTGTCACTCCGATTGTCGGAGAGGTATCTCTGGGCCATCTCGGTAATGCACATCACTATAAGCCTTGCAAGAAATGCAACTAATGAGTTAGTTGCGGGATGATACATTACGGAAATGAGTAAAGAGACTTGCCGATAACGAGATTGAACTAGGTATTGAGATACCGACGATCGAATCTCGGGTAAGTAACATACCGATGACAAAGGGAACAACGTATGTTGTTATGCGGTTTGACCGATAAAGATCTTTGTAGAATATGTAGGAGCCAATATGAACATCCATGTTCCGCTATTGGTTATTGATGGGAGACGTGTCTCGGTCATGTCAACATAGTTCTCGAACCCGTAGGGTCCGCACGCTTAACGTTTGGTGACGATCGGTATTATGAGTTTATGTGATTTGATGTAACGAAGGTAGTTCGGAGTCCCGGATGAGATCAGGGATATGACGAGGAGTCTCGAAATGGTCGAGACGTAAAGATCGATATATTGGACGACTATATTCGGACATCGGAAAGGTTCTGAGTGATTCGGGTATTTTTCAGGGTACCGAGGAGTTACGGGAATACGGGAAGAAGTATTGGGCATCAATGGGTCAAGTGGTGGAAGAGAGGAGGCAGGGCGCCCCCCCCCTAGCCCAAACCGAATTGGACTAGGGGGCCGACCCCCCTTTACTCCTTTCCTCCCTCTCCTTCCTTCTCCCCTTCCCCCTTCCTTTCCTCCTCCTAGTAGGAGTAGGAAAGGGGAGTCCTACTCCTACTAGGAGGAGGACTCCTCCTCCTGGCGTGCCCTACAGGGCCGGCCGGCCTCCACCCTTGCTCCTTTATATACGGGGGCAGGGGGGCACCCTAGGATACACAAGTTGATAATTGATCCCTTAGCCGTGTGCGGTGCCCCCCTCCACCATAATCCACCTCGATGATATCGTAGCGGTGCTTAGGAGAAGCCCTGCGTCGGTAGTAACATCATCACCGTCATCACGCAGTCGTGCTGACAAAACTCTCTCGTGAAGCTCTGCTGGATCGGAGTTCGTGGGACTTCATCGAGCTGAACGTGTGCTGAATTCGGAGGTGTCGTGCGTTCGGTACTTGGATCGGTCATATCGTGAAGACGTTCGACTACATCAACCGCATTCTCATAACGCTTCCGCTTACGGTCTATGAGGGTACGTGGACGATACTCTTACCTCTCGTTGCTATGCATCACCATGATCTTGCGTGTGCATAGGAAAATTTTGAAATTACTATGTTTCCCAACACCTATTGCCCTGGGGTCCATTCTTATTATAATTGTTCACTAGCTTGCACACCTTTTTTTCTAACCATTTACTACAAAGCCATCTGGCTGTTGCATGTAAATTTCCTCGTCTAGCTATCCGTTAAGGAAAGCCGTCTTAATGTCCATATGATGAATGAGAAGACCATGCATGCGAGGTAGCCAATGAGAGTAACACTCGAATGGTTGTCAATCTAGCCACATGTGAGTAAGTATTGAAGAAATCTTCTTCTTGTTTCTGGGTATAACATTTGGCCACAAGCCTAGCCTTATACTTCTCAACGGTACCATTGGCCTAAGCTTCCTCTTGAACACCCACTTACATCCCAATGGTTGGCAACCATAAGGACGATCAGTGATCTCCCATGTCCAGTTAGCCAAGATGGAATCCATCTCGCTACGGACCAAATCCCTCCAGTAGTCAGCATCCAGAGATGCATAAGCTTCTGAAATAGAACTGAGAGTGTCGTCATCCACGAGGAAATCATCACCAAAAGACTTTGCAGTCCTATGTCTCTGGCTCCTAACAGGAGCTTACTCGTTGATACGTCTCCAACGTATCTATAATTTTTATTGTCCCATGCTATTATATTATCTGTTTTGGATGTTTTATGTGCATTAATATGTTGTTTTATATTATTTTTTGGGACTAACTTATTAACCTAGATCCTAGTGCTAGTTTTTGTTTTTCCTTGTTTTTGACTTTTTCAGGAAAAGAATATCAAATGGAGTCCAAACAGAATAAAACTTTATGATGATTTTTCTTGGACCAGAAGACACCCATGAGACTTTGGGAGAGGGTCAGAGGAGTCCTGAGGAGGCCACAAGCCTCTAGGGCACGCCCCAGGGGGGGCCCTGGCTTGTGGGACCCTTGAGGGTCCCCTAACCCTAATTCCACATCTACATATTCTCAAATATTTCCCGAACATCAGAAGCGTCCACAAAAACACTTTTCCGCTGCCGCAAGCTTCTATTCTCGTGAGATCCCATCTTGGGGCCTTTTCCGGCACTCCGCCGGAGGGGGATTCGATCACAGAGGGCCTCTACATCAACCTTGCTGCCCTTCCGATGAAGCGTGAGTAGTTTACCACGAACCTAAGGGTCCATAGCTAGTAGCTAGATGGCTTCTTCTCTCTCTTTGATCTTTAATACAATGTTCCCCTCGATGTTCTTGGAGATCTATTCGATGTAATCTTCTTTTGCGGTGCGTTTGTTGAGATCCGATGAATTGTGGATTTATGATCAGATTATCTATGAGTATTATTTAAGTCTTCTCTTGAACTTTTTTATGCATGATGAAGATATCTTTGTATTTCTCTTCGAACTATCGGCTTGGTTTGGCAACTGGATTGGTTTTTCTTGCAATGAGAGAGGTGCTTAGTTTTGGGTTCAATCTCGCAGTGTCCTCACCTAATGACAGAAGGGGTAGCGAGGCACATATTGTATTGTTGCCATCAAGGATAAAAAGATGGGTTTATATCATATTGTTTGATTTTATCCCTCTACATCATGTCATCTTGCTTAAGGCGTTACTCCGATCT